AGAACTGTGTTTCTCATGAACATAGAAGCAAAACATCATTAGCAAATATTATTAATAAAATTCAGCAATAGATTGAAAGGCACTAAATACATCTTGAGGAAACAGGGTTTATCTCAGAAAAGCAACATTCATGTAATATTTGAAAAGTGATCAATTAATTTACCATACTACCTGTAAAAGAATAAAGGAGAGAAAAGCATATAATATCATCTCTATAGTTGCAGAAAAAACATTTGACAAAACTCAACAGTGATTTATGATAAAAACTCTAAACTAGGAATAGAAAGTAACTTTCTCCTATTGATTAAGGACATCTAAGAAAAATCTACAGCTAGTATTTTACTTATCAGTGAACTATTTAAACATTGAATGATTACCCCTAAAGCAATTGAATGTTTGTCCCTAAAAATAGACAAAGATGTTGATTTTTGCTGTTTTATTCAGTCTTGCCCTGGAAGTTTTATCAAGTGTAATAGAGATAAAAGACAAAAATAAAATGCATAAATATTAAGATGTGATAAAAATGTTTATTTTATCAACATGATCATATTTGTAGAAAATCCTAGTAAATCTGCAAAACAATTTATTGGAACTAAACAATTAATTTATATATTCCATTTACCATAATATCAAATCTTTAAAATTCAAAATTTAATTTTCATTTTTGGGGAATAAATTAAATTGCTCAATAATTATTCATGTTTCAAAAGTACTCATGTAATAAACTCCGTTTCTCATTTAGGTTTTCACTGGGATCTTCACAGCAGAAATGTTTCTCAAGATAATTGCCATGGATCCGTATTATTATTTTCAAGAAGGCTGGAATATTTTTGACGGTTTTATTGTGAGCCTCAGTTTAATGGAACTTGGTTTGGCAAATGTGGAAGGATTGTCAGTTCTCCGATCATTCCGGCTGGTAAATTAACTAGGAGTGTCCATAATATTTATTTTTATAATTAATTGGTCATCATTCTTATCTAGTAATAATTATAAGATTTCTCATAATTATAAAATTATTGGAGTACATTTCTAAAACAAACTGAATTGCCCTACCACCAGATGGTCGTTTCTTCTTTATCATAGCTTTAATGGATAGATTAAATTCATTCAAATGAACAGTCAAAATTTCTCTCCTTAGTAATTGAATGACAGGGATAATGGAGAGGGTAAAACAGGGAATCACAGATAACTCAAATCATAATTAAACACCACCATAGTCAACTCACAGTTATCTGGGGCTTGCAAAACCATGTAGAAGGCTACCTTGGGACCTAGGATGGACTCCCCTTTCTATTGGGGGCTCAGGAATCATAGAATTGCTCACTGCCCACCCTGTCCCCATAGAAGTCAAGACTTGCAACAGGGGAAAAGATAAGCAGACAGAGCTCCCCACGCATCTCTTTCAGCCAGATCAGAAAGTCACCAAATGCACGCTTTGAGAGAGTTCCTTGTATTATATTTTGTTAATTTTAAAAAAAGTCTTTCATTTGATCTTTATATTTCATAAACTTTTGGATTTTAAAATTAAGAGACAAAATATCACTTGATGCATTTCCACTGAAAGTTTGGTATGTTTTATTGTG